CGTGCTGGACTGAGTTGACAACGAGCCACAAATTGATATCTACGGGTGTATGTAACTTAAGTCACCAACAAACGTTTTATTTCTTTTTTATATATAAACAAGGGTGTGGCATTGAGTAAACTACACTCCACGCATTTCACTCCATATACGTTTAAATCCGTTTAGGCATGTTTTTAAGCATTGGGAGAACCCCAAATCTCTCGGTTACTAAGACAGCAATCAAGCATCCCAAGATCGTAAAATGGAAGAGTGAAAACCGAGACCTGTTCCCTCAAAGTTTTTCAACATTTTTGAGGACTTCACACAAAAGATAAGTAACCACGGAAGTGACAGGCAGAAGCAATGTTGTCTGATATAGTTAGTTAGACGATGTTGGGAATTTCGTGAAATTCTTGAGCCTTTAGTGTCCTCATTAATGATCCTCGACATCAGGCAAAATCTTGTGAAATCTGGGGATATGGGCCTCGTGACCCAAAGCAACTGAACGCACTGCCGGTGCCAGATTAGAGGAGCCATTTCTGAGTGGCGCAGACAACTATAGGGTCAGAGAACAACGCATTAAAAAGATCAGAGCATTCAAAATAGTTAGTGTCAAAGATACTCGCTAGGGTGCGTATGAGGGTTATAACTTATTTGTTATTTTATATAAAAAATGACTAAATCAAGCGTGAGAAACATTTTCTTTTGTGAGCGTACCGGTAGCCAAATTCTGCATACCTTTATGCAGAAAATTTCTGTACGTACCGGTAGCCTTATGCATAACTTTATGCGGAAAATATTTTTTTTTAAGTGGGCGTTGCAACAAACATCGACATTCGCACTTCGCTGGCCTGTTTTGTTTAACAGTAGCTTGGTCTCTTTGAAAATGTTGAGAAGTATCCACCTAATGCGGATACTTCTTAACGTGCACCCTAAATTGATTTAGTTAACTTAGATTATTTCTTAAATTATTTTCTTTTTCTGAAGAAGAGCGCATGCTTTTGTAGACGTTTTAAGTCAATTTCGTTGTATTGTTAAATTTGATGAAATTTCAATTAGGGTTTAGTGTCGCTACCGCTTTCCCATATGGCAACGCTTGACAGATGACAGTTTATTTATTAACGCTTGTACAAGCCAGTAGGTAAATCAAGTGATTTTCTATGTATACTTTTATTGACAGCGAAAAAAAAATTAAGCACCGAAATGTTAAATAAAAACACTCATACTGTTCTTTTGTAAACCTCAATTATTTCGTCTATAAAGTTGATTAGGAATATTTGCCTTTAGTATGACAGCATCGATCTTATAGATATTACAATAGTACCTAAATTTCCAAATTGTATTCTTGCTACAGCATTTCGTTTTTTGTAATTTTTTGTTTTGTTTTTTAGAACACCAGCAAGTGTACGACGAAGCTTGTCAAATCAGCGAAACAGATAAACACCGAATATACAATTTCCCCATACAAGTTTACGAACATTTTATGGTGTATACCCTAATATTTCCAGCCCTAAAGTTTAATAGAAATGTAGACACCGGTAGGATGACCACGCTTCCTCTTCGAAAGTAGGCAATCAAAAGCAATTCAACAACGAAATAAATATTTCTTATATTCGCACAGCTACGGTTTCGTTCGCTTTTGCTCACCACTCCTGTTGTATTTATCTCCTTGTTTTACAAGTTACGCATGTATTTATAGTACTTATGTAGAATAAATAGCAGTAAACGTCGTTTTTATTTTAGGGAAATAACCGCTGATATATTACGAACAATCGTTGCAAGAATAAACCTAGTAATCCGGAAAAACCTTGTTACAGGAAATATTATCCAGGGGTTATACATCGAGGTAGAACAAGCAGAAATGAAGAAAAATTAAAAGTTTACCACAATGCATCGACAGGGATATGCTTTCTGATCTATAATAATTTCCCTAAAAAACAATGTTTTAGCAGGATATTTAAGAAAAAAATAAAACTATTGCTATTTTCTTTTTTTTTTTATCGGGAGTGTTCCAGAGCCTCTAAAGTGAGCTATTTATAACATTCGTCTTTCAAACAAAACAAAAAAAAAAAAACAAGAAACAACAACGTGGAATAGCAAAATCAGCCCGAAAGCATTCAACAGCGCACTGTGCACCTGTAACCAGCAGGGCACGGCAGAATTACGTATAGTGCCTGTCGGCACATTTGCAAACGATGTAATCTTTTCTCAGCAGCTATCTCTGCCAACCTGCACAAATATACAAAACCGATACAGACGGGAGCGGGAACGCTCGAGTTTGTATTCGAGAGGCGCTTTGAGATTTCACTCCAAGCAAGCTCTTCGAATAAAGAAAGATTCCGCCGTGTTTTCTCCTCAAACCTGTATAAATTGAGTCCTCCACTCGGTGGGGGTTCCGAAGACTTGGGTTTCTCGGAAACTTCTATCAATCAGTCCGACGAGGCGTGAACTCTGACACCATTCTTTACGATCGCTTTCGTACGAGTTTTACGCCACACCAGATTCTTTCTCCCGGGAGTGTCGATTGCGTTAAGGGACAGGAAAGGTAATAAAACACAACCAAAAGTAGATTGTTTCCTCTGACTTGCGTACGTTTGTTTTGCTTGCTAATACGCTGGCTTACTCGCGATGGACGTCCGTGGCTGTACTTCTCCCGCCACTCTCGCAAAATTTATGTCGTGGTTTTTGAACCCTGTTTAAAGTCAATACGAAACCGAGCTGACTCTTGCCGCCTGCTCGTCTAGCTCTACGGAGGAAAAGATGGCTCCCGGTTCCGAGAAACGTTGCGACGAGGTGGAGTTACCGAACGTATTGCAGAACCCCTGTGTGCAGTTTCTCGGTACTTTAAAACAAGAAAGTGTTTTCACCTATTGAGAGTTCTTCCAGAAAATATATTCTAAGTAAAAGATTTGCGAACAGCAAAAGGGAGATCTTGTTGCCACGGCTGCAATGGACCGCAGATGCATCCACCGCAAAAAGTATAATAGTAAAAAAAAGCCAGGTGGTAGCCTTCCAAACTCGACACTTTGAAGACTTTAGCTTTCAGGTATTAACAACTGAATTCAATCGAATGTGGAAGTGGAGATAGTGGTTATGGATGTAACATGGTTGAATTGATAACATAGACGCATACGGTGGCACAGACTAGGAAAATTAACGTGACTTTACGTGACACCGATTGCTTTTGATAAGACTATGTGCATTCCTTATTCCTCTCATTATAAAATGGTAAAGCGAAGAGGCAACATGGTATTTCTTCTTGGGTTCTTATGCGCCGAAATGATTCTCTCTATTCAGACATTGCCTTAGGGAAAATATCCGATGATTATGTCTTTGCAGAGACTAATGCCGTTGATTTTTTTAATACCAAGTAGCGGCAAAAGAAGAAGAAAGAAATCAATAGAAAAAAAATTGGGAATCGCTGACTACGTAAGTCGCCTGTTCGGCCCACTTGCCCCTCTTGGTAAGTTTACCCATACCGTATTTACGCGAGTAAAAGCTGCACTGTTTAGGCAGAAAACCCGAGGGTCTGCTTTTCCGTGGAGCACGCAGATTGCCAATCATCGCGATCAGCAGCATGATTCCAGCTGTTTACAGGACAGAGATGACGTCTTTGTACGAAGATACCATCTGTGAAGATTGCATTTGTGTGGAGAATCGTGTTCTCCATCTGGTTATTCGCTATGTTATTTATGCACCACGCAATTATTGGCTGTTTTTGTGTTCTGTGGGAAAGTAGACGCAAGGGCCTTGCTCATAATTAGTGCGGCTATTACTCGAGTAAATACGGTATTTCTAGCACGGGTTCGCACTTAGGGTGCACAGGGTTCAGCTCGTCTCAGAATAACGGCTTCTAAGCGCTAACGCCTGTTTTACCAGATTACAGCTGACAACATATATTGGCATTTAACGACACAGTTTTTTAGCAGAATACCAAACCAAACTGAATTTACCCCTGTGGCAACGCTTGCAGGACAAGCACACGATGTATGGCTTATTTATTCTAGAAAAGCTATTCTCTTTTAACCACGCTGCAGCAGATATATCTCCTTCCTGCGGAGGCTTTAGTGCCAGACACGAAGTTGCATGCTCCGATTTTAATGACGTTCGTTATCGTTACAGTGCAAACCACGTTCGAGGACGACTGCAGATGGATCGAACCGCGGAGGAAGTAGCTGCGACAAATCGGCTCACGCCTTGCCAAGTTTTAAACGGGAATAACGTCTTTGTCTTCTTTACCTTACTCCTACAAAGGATAATTTGAAAATTATAAGTGAAAACTCACTCAGTTTAATATGAAAACGCCCCTCCTGTCTGGAAAACAGACCAATTCAGTGAATATTGAACGCTCGTGTGTTCCCCGGTTATTTTATTTTTAATTTTTTTTTTTAGGTAGTATCTGGTGGTGTGGTTTTATTACATCTCCTTTTGTTGGAGCGAGGAGGTGCTTATTGAATTAACCGCGTGATATTTTGCCACGTGGACGTACTTGCTACGGTAGGCGTTGGTATTTTTTTCAATCTACGTCTGATTTGTCTGAGAATATTTTAGTGCGTTATGCCTTTTCTAAGAAGCTAAGCCAGATAATAGGCTGAATGTATAACGATCAATTAAAATGTTGGGGTGCTTAAAAAAAAATTAGTCATACTTGTGGAAGTGGTCAGATCTCACAGAAGAATACGAAGTGAACACAAGGAGCTTCGTACGTCCTGGACTCCTTCAACTTAGCCGTTTTGGTGTTTGGTTGGGGGATAAAAGGAAAGCGACATGGAGGGCGAAGCAGGACACCCTTAAGATAGTTTTGCTTTGTCTTCCTGCTTAACGTCGATTTCCTTTTATCACTGTAACTTATCGACACGCCTCAATCAGTCGGGCTTAATGATGTTTACTTCTTTCGTCGTAACTTTCAGGATTAATCTTGTAATCGACAAAATAATTCGCAAGCTCGTGCGCAAACAGAAAAAAAAATAATATAAAAGTACCTCGCAAAACTGAATATATAAAAAAAACGTAGTACTCACAAAATTGGAGTTCCCGTGCATCTTAAAAAGAAGAGAAAAAGCACACGATGTTCGTTCGATGAGAGTCGACGCCTTCCCTGCCGTATCCGCAGTCGACGAAGAAACTAGCGGATTTCTCGGTCGACGCAGAGCATTCACTTATCCGTCGAGGAACCACTCACTCCCGCACCTCGTCAGCAGCACGCGACAGACAGCCGCCGGCCGTCCACTCACTCGAGGGAGAGAGACAAGCGAGCTCGCGCAGGCGCGAGCCCCAAAGGTGCTCGCGCTTTTCCCGCTCGCTCCGACGTCGCCCGTCGCACGCGCTCCCGCGAAACGCCGTCGGTTTCTCTGGCGACGTCCGCCGCGAAAGTGAAAACGGGCGACGGCGAAGCACGGGGCCGTCCCGCCGTGGACGCCTTCTCCGCCGAGCGAGAGCAGAGTAGGCGTGTGCGGGCCACGCTCGTCGCGCTGCTCGGCGACGGACGCAAGGACGACGACGGAGGGGGAACGGGCGGGGGGGATCTTGCTTTCTTTTTCGCTCGCTTTTACGGCTCGTTGGGCTTCGCGGCCAGCCGTCCCGCGTAACGGGGGTTGTCGGGTGCCAGGGACCGTAGGTTCGTTCTCGTCCGCATTCGGTTGACGGAACGTCGGGGCGAAAACGAGATGGAGGGGAGGGACATGAAGCTGAGGGACACTTAAGAGAGACTCACTGACGGCTCAAGAAACTCAGGGCGCGGCGAGCCACCTTATCATCGCTCCGTTGCCAAGCAGACTGCGCCATTAGCGGGGAAAACAAGAGGAGCCAACAGAAGAAGCCGCGGCCTGCTTAAACGCTCGGTGGCTAAGCGGAAGGAATGGTACGAGCAGTTAGATGAGAGTAAAGAAACAAACGGCTCAGTTGAACTGCTCATCTACATAATATGGAATGCGAGGTATGAAATTAGGATCGATATGTTCGCCTCGGTGTGGTTGCAACAGGTTGAGTTGGTTATGCTATTTGTCTTGTGCGCTCTATTTTGCGAGCAAAAGAAAAAAATCATATTTTTTTTATTGCGCCAATTCTATGGTCAGAAGGATGTGGTAAGGGGCGAAGGTTTGGGCCGGTAGACTACACGCATTTACAACATGAACATTTAAAGATTAAAGGTCCGCAAACATTTTTTTAAATTTTATTGGATTAAATTACAATAGAATATAGTTAGGTTCCGATACAATATAATTAATACGATTGAGATAAGTTACAGTACAATATAAGTTGCTCCGCATATAAGTTTGAGATACTTTTTTTCGGGACACGGGTTGACAAGGACGTCGGCTAGAACGATAGCAACGCTTGAAGAACGATTTATCTCATTAATATGGTAACAATTACAAAACAGCAGTATGTTACAGATTATTGCTTCGCAGGAAGGCACTGCATAATTGTTAAATTAAGGTGCCTATAAAAGGAGCGCTTACAGAGAACGCTATGTCTTGAGGTGCCGCCTAAGATATAACCTTCTAGTTGGAGTAGATAGCTTCGATAACCCCGATAACTTCACTCGACACTCTGCCGCGCCTTCGTGCATGCATACATTATCGTTATCGGACTGCAAGAAGAATCTATTAAAACTTACTAATGGTGGGGATTTTAGGAATAATGTTGTGGCGTACTGCGTGCGCAATGAACTAGAAGACACCATCATCTTCCCGATAAAACTTTGTTCGTCCTCCATGATGTTTAAAACCATTACTGTGGCAACTGAAAAAAAGAAAAAAATTTGAAGTCGAAGGAAAAGGGAACAGAAGAAGACTTCGTCCTCTGTGCCTTCTTTCTTCAACTTCAAAGTTTTATATTTTTTTCCTCACCAGAGTATCGAGTTTTAAACATCATGATTGACTATCACCAGCTCGCCTGCACACTCACTGTCTTTTCACTGTTCGCCATGACTGTTAGTCGGCGCTACCCGTGAAACATGGTATCGGGTATCACCGCTCAGACGTTTAAACTCCGCGTCGCTGTAAGTCATAGCGCAGTCGGCGCTGCAAACCGATGATGTCAATCAAGCAGCGCTCCAAAGCCACTTCATGGCGATCGTCGTCTCCTAGTGCTTAAGTCGGTAGCTGCTACACCAATCGAGCGCAGAGCATGCACCACGACCTTGTGATTTTAGTGCGGGTGATTCTGCTCGTATATTGTATCATTTGACCGCACTTTGATTTATGATAAAACAACCGTAGCAATCTTTCGAGACACAGGCTGAATATGGCGCTCACATTATTTTCATAGATTTAATCGTGGTCAAAATTTGACAGACTCACAGAACATACCGTTTCATCAAAATGAAACGGAATTTTAAATACCTGATTATTAAGAATAATGCATACATTTCCTTAAAAAAAAAGCTGCAGACGTTTATTATAGTTATTTAAGAGTGTGTAGATTATGGGAACGATACAACTCAGCATCATAATGACCTAGCAAACGCCATTTTCTTGCAGCTAAGGTTAATGTCCCTAAAGCGTGCACTGGGTGCTTCGGAAAGTAGCGCCGAGTTCGTCGGAAGGTCGCCATTTTGTTCCATGGAATAAAATGTTTCTTCCGAACCTCTCCATTTTTGACGAGCTGATCTAAATTCGCGGTGAGAGGTTGCTTCGCGAAGACATTTCTCGTACATCGAGATTTTGTTTACACGGGCTGGCAAAACGAGCGCACACATTCACACTGCTGCCCCATGCAGCGGCGTGCGAAAAACTATATCACTGTAAGAAATCTGTGGGCCTGACCCAGATCGCTTAGTTGAATGCATAAAAGGTGCCAAAGACGCTTACACTGCCGAGGAACGCTTCCACTTAGATGATGCGCCATCACGATCTTCGTGGGGCTGGCTCAAAATGATCGTTTCGAAGCTTCGAAAGGACCGAAATTGCGATTGCAATAGCAACAGATACCGTTAAGCCAATCGCCTTGCGTGGATGTAGTCGTAGTTATGTCCCTGTTTGCGTCCTGCTAGCAGGCGGGGAAGGAAATGGCGCTACTTTTCCAGGATCCAGTGACTAAGCAACCCCAGTGAACACTTTCCACCAAACTATTATAGTAGACGACAGGTGAAAATCGCAGTATAAGCTTGAGTGCTAACAAAGGCAAGGGCGTGAGTGTTCTAGGGCTAGCACCCTGACGGCCCTACGCAACACCCTTAGGATGCTGGCGAACAGCTTATAAATCGGGAACAAATATTCTCAGCATCATCCAAGAGATGCATGTTGTTTAGGAGCAGCAAGTTTACAAGCAACAAACAGTTGTTACATGCACAGAAAAAGGAAACACAGACTTGATGAATCACGCACAAGAGAGGAATCATGACCCTGGTAACTGCTCCAGCATCTTATGTACTTGGCAATTAAAAATTGCTCATCCGCAGCTGACCACTTCCACAATAGACTACTTCCATAAAGCCCTGCATGCAACACGGCGCGCGTTGCACTCTGGGAACTAGTTGGCCAGGGAGGAGAGTGCCATGGTTTCGGTTTCGATCGACACGTCAACAAGAGGTTATACAGAGAGCGTGCACTATAAACGGCCGTTGTTTTATGTTTTCTGGTCCCGAGAGCGTCATTTGTGGTCTCTAAACTGACCTAAATGGCCAGATCTCGAAGCTTTAGCACAAGCCCGAGACGTATAGCTTGTCTTAACGCATATGCTTATTGTATTTTTCTATTCGAGCCTTTCTGTTAGCGTTTCGAGGTATGTGGACTAGTGAGTGCTGGGAATCTCGACGCTGCGAAGCTCGGGGATCTTGCTTGTGTACGAAACGACAAGACACTAGTAAGTATGCACAAATCGAGCTCGCGCCTTTACATTAGTGTTGTTGCGCAATCAGGAAGTTTGTTTGTTTCGTGCGTCCAGAGACGAAATATGACTTTTTGCAATTACTGTTTTTTCTTAATATGCCTAAGTACGCGAGGTAAAACTTGGAGGCGCTATTGAAAAGCTCCATTTGAACACACTTCTCATCGCTTATCTGTACTGCCCCGCAGCACTGCACGAATTCGTGAAGTACCCACCCGCTTGCATTTCACTAATATTCAACATCGCATATACGCATAAAGTTATCCTGCAATCATATAGGCACATTCGCACATACAAACCGTCTTAAGAAACCAAAAGTCGAGCACTTGTGTGAAGAATGTCGCACCATTTGGCGGAAGTGCGTCGGACGGGCATGAACCCCGGTGCGCCAAACGAACGAAATTATTCAAAGCACATTTCACGGTTGCTAATGGCCATAATATTTGTCATGTGTTAGCTTTCTTCCTCACTGAGTGTGCCGAGATAATTTCAGACACACCGTTCAGGCACATATCTTGGGCGTCAGTAAAGGTCGTCCAAAAAGGCTTAGCGAGGAGTAGGGGACGCTTGTTAGGGCCTCCGTCGTAGCTAGCCGATGTCAGCGTTTGCGAAAACTTAATCTTATATCAGCATAAAATGTGAGTGTGAGATATGTGATGACACGAGGAAGACATCATAGTAACTTTTGTGCAGTAGTGAGGTCAAATTTATTGCGTTGCCAACGCTGGCTCAACTTTGATACTCCTGTGAGGATGCGGCTTGCTTTTCGCCCAATGAAGTAACAAGAAGCGGACGTTTGGCAAACAAAATACGTGTAGGGCTGAAGGTGACCAAATTTCAGTTGCAGTTCACTGGTACTAGACGGGATTACTGACACGAGCTCAAAGATGCACTCGTGGGGTGAGGTGACTAAGCCACGTCTTACTACGCTTGCATACGCACGCACAATATCCGGTGTTTCGGGAACCAAGGAAAGTGCCCCGGTCTTCGTTTTCATCTCGCTCGAGAATGAGTGTATTGTACAATCGTGAAAAGTCAGATAGTCGAAAACGCAAGCAGCGCGTTCGGTCGCGGCGTGATAGCATGAGATGAAGCTGCTCAGTCGAAACCGAAACTGAGTGGCCAACTAGTTCCCAGAGTGCACTGCGTGGTATTTCGCCGCGATGGGGCGCGTCGGTTTTGGAAGAAGTCCATTACGGAAGTTACGCTTATGTTGTTGTATTCTCAAGGGCTCGGCGGTCGAGGGATCGGTGGCCGAGAGGGCTTCAGCGCACACCAGCTCGGAGTACAAGGAGTGAAAGCTCAAGCTGCAGAACCCAGGGATCCTGGGTTGAATCCGATTCCGAGTCAAGAGGTCCATCGAGTCAAAAGATCCAACGCGTCAAAAGATCCATTATTGGACCTTATGACTCGTTGGACCTCTTGACTCGGAATCCACTGCAACGGGGTGGGATCCCGCGTCTAATAACAAAGCAACAAAAAAGAGGCAGATGGGAGAAGATGATGCAGTGGCCTCGGGGACGAGAGATTTCGGGATCCTGAATGGCTGGCTGTGTCACGGCGTTTGTGCGTTTTTCATTTCAATGGGCTATTAACCAAGCCATTTCTTCGT